ATAAAAATAATTATACACTAATAAAACTATATCATGAGATATCATGTCAAAGTCCCGTTTTATGTTTTGGTAAGTTTTTTATGTATACTTTACAATAAACTTGTGTTCCTAATCTTGCACATTTTAGAATATTGACAAATGCAAGGTTTCTACGGAAACATGTATTTCAATCGGACCAATAAATCTAGTTCCAAATTTTAATATAAATATAATATGCATCTAAAAAACTATAATATATATATATTACTAATAATATTATAGTATATGAAAAAATATAAATATATATATATATATATATTATATATAAGGTTTGTTAAAGTTTTTTTGACTAGTTTGGAAAATAATATATGTAAATTACTTTTTTCTTTTTGGTGTGTGGTAGTCTCATAAAAAATAGTACTTGCTAAGGCGTACTATTTATTCTGAATTCCGACTTTCGGTGGTTATTTGCCACCTTTTGGAAGTTGAAAGTTTGTTTTTTGTTTTACATCTGATACTATTTAAACAACAATAGTTCCTTCCATACCTCTTTGTGTTCCTGGAGATGTGACGATCAATCCTGCTGAAGACGACTGTTTTTTTGTCAAACATTCGTCTAATTTTTTACTTTTTAAACTTGTGTAACATGTTCTTTCAATTTTAAGTATTTTAAAGTTTTTAAACATTTTTATGCTTCAATAATCTCAGATCTACATCATGTTATTTTAACGTTTTGTTTTAAATGCCTATGAATCTTACATTCTGTAAGTTTTTTTAACTTTTATATTACATCGCCTAAGTTATAACACAGTAATTTTCATTGTAGACCTTGATATAAGGTGGCAAATAACCACGAAAGCTCGGAATTCAGAATAATTTAAGACTAGCAAGCCTTTTTTTTATTGACTACCACACCTCAAAAAGAAAAAAGTATTTTCATATATTATTATATATATGTCATATATAATATAATATATTTATATATATATATATATATATATATATAAATATATATTATGATATTATATGATAGATGTAACAATAATCAATGTTAATTATTTTATATAAACTAAAAAAGGCTTCACTAAATATAATTGTGAAGTTTTTAATGTATTTTTAAAAAATAGTATCAGCTAATTATGAATAATTAATATATTACCTATACTAAATGTATTTTTTAACTAAAATATAAAATTATTAAAAGCATCAAACCTTACATGTTCTGCTCTAATTTATAGACATCATGATAAGCATTCCTAATAAGGGCATAAGGGAAACATGACTCCAATAAATCCATAGTTAGGAAAGGAGATTCTTGTACAATTTGATCCAACAACAAATAAACTGATTCTCTATTTTTGATTGCTTCTTTATCAGCCTCCTGGCCCAATCTGAGCAAACTGGATGATGCTAAAGCTAGAAATTCTTTCATTCTGTCTTCAATGTCCCCCTGTCCACATATAGTAAAAAGAGCTCCAAAAATGTGATTCACTGCTAGAGCCATGCAATGAATATTATTTGTATGTCCCTCTAAAGATGGTCTATAAAATGACTGTTCAGATTTGGCAAGTTTTGGTATACTAACTGCTACAAATACCATTAGCAAGCAAACTAGAAGATGCTCATTATCACCTTCATTTTCTTGCTTTTGTAATTTCAGAGCAGCTATGAGAGTAGGATCAACTTTGCATGGTAAGCCAGCAGCTGACGTCATTTCACTAACAATTTTCATAGGATCCCCACTTAGCAAATGATGTCTGAAATCTAGAATAGAACTTACTAAAAATGGAATACGATCTTCTAGTACATCTGTTAAACAAGATTGTGCCAGTTGTCTGAAGCTTAATATTACACCCACTATTGTCATTCTCTGAAGAACATTATCAACATTTGAGAGTTTCTTAAATTGTTCTTTCATTACTTCAGGTTTGTCAAAGTTTGTACGTAAGGAAAGAAGTATATCCTTATTAATTTCCGCTAATTTCTTTAGCTCAACTACTTGACTAGCAATATGCCACATAAGAGTTTCACTTAGCTGTTTCATACCATAAGGACCTATTAATTCAGCCAAAGCTCTCAGTTCATTAACATCAGAATATTCTTCAGGATTAAATGGTATAGAACCTTCAACAGTTAGGCTAACAAATGATCTTTGATTCATTGAAAATATGATATTACCACCACTTACCCTTCTTAATAATACCTCTGAGTACCATTGAGTGTATATAGAAGCTATTGTTTTTTCACCATGACTATCTACTGCTTGAGTTTGCTGCAATAAACAATTATTGAAAACTCTTGTTATATCTATATGTACATAATTCTCTACTGTTTGCAGCACATTCATGTAAGACCTAACACTCACTAAGAGTTCAGATGGTTTAGCAATTTCATTTGTATCTTGGTTATACATGACCATTCCTACTAAAGCTTTAGCAAATCTGGTCTCCAGATGTTGGTGCAAGTATTCTCTAGGTGCAAAAGTATATTCCCAGACATTAATATTAGAGAAATAATTTATTGCATAACAAAGTTCTGTTAAAGCCATATGTAGTTTATCCATTGTTGTTAAATTTTCTCTGGTTTTTCTGTAGCTTTCTTTACCTGGTTTTTCAAATTCTATAGTGTTTTTTTTGTTTTTTTCCTTCTTTTTTCTATTAATCTGCTGAGAAATTAAATGTGCACAATTTTTAGGAAGAAGTTTGTCACTCATTTTGCATTGAGCATCACAAATAGCTGTTATTATATTTTTGGCCTCTTTTGCCATTTCATCAAGAAACATATTTACAACAGAAAGACTTCTTTCTCTAATATGATGCCTTTCTTCTGGACAAAGTTCATGAGTGCAGTTCTGAAAATGGCTACAGATTGATGGAAAAGCCACTATATATCTATTTTGAGCTGGGAATTCTAGGCACATGTGGAACTGATCTTCAAAAATTCTGTTGTAAAAACAGAATATAGACAAGTCCGAAGTTTCTCTCAGCATTTCATCTAAATTATCAACCATTTTGGTATGAAATTGAATAGAATCCAACAATTCTGCTAGTTTTTTCTCATCTATCAGTCTCATTGGAGATTTTGCAGTAGAGGTATATGCTTGCAACCTAAACCAATCTAAACGAAAAGCAAAAAAGTTAAAGGTTTCATTTTCTTCCACCTGTTTTATAGAAACACTGGAAATAGTATTGCATAGGGAAGAAAGTATGATACCTTCATCTTCTGGGCAAGTTTGCAGTTTTTGCATAAATTCCTTTAAGGTTATAGCATCCCAATGAGATAGATATTGAACATAATACCTCTGCATTACCTGACTGTACTTTCTTACTAATACTCTTAAATCTTCCATGTGAAATAGTAATTCAGGTAAATGTCTATCAACTAAATCTTCTGCTGATTTACCTTTTGTCCTATGTACGGGTGGATTATCATTATGCCTTAATAACCAAAGAACTTCATCTCTAGCATAACACAAACCCATAAAAACCATCAAAGCTTTTGGTCCCAATAAACCTGGTTGATCCATAAATATCAGACCTAATTCTTTCAGTGCTGTTCTTAAAAACTTCCTACGTTCTCTATGATTGTACCCTGCCTTTTGAACAGCTTGATTTTGTGCATCTTTAACTTCAGATATTCTTTTACCATAACCTTTTAATGTATCAAAAAATGATAAAACATATTGATGAGTGTAAATGACTTCATCTCTAAATAAAGGAGTGACCCAAGATGACTCCAAAGCATTCAGAAATAGTTTGTTAAAATGTTCCTGCTGTAGTAAATTATGCAGTAACAATAAACCAAATATTATCCACCTTTCCATAGCATCCATTGACAAAAACTCACAAGACATTCTTTCTGAAAGAACTGGTTTTAATAATAATGAAGGATTTCCTACTAGTGTCAATTTTTGTTCTGAACGCCATTTATCCGCAGAAACATTTCTAGGCACATAAATTGGAATAAGAGACTGTAACGCTTGAGCCAACAATCTAGCATGGGGTGTAAACTCTTCACATAACTTTTTGAATGGAATATCATAGTCAGTAATCATATTTCCTAATCTGGGAAAACTACCATCTTGGGATCCATGAACAATTTCATAAGCTGCATTAAATAAACCCAAAACTGCTTTTCGGTCTTCCACTTTTGACAAAAGAACCATTAAAGATACATAAGTAGTTACAAGATCTAAATAGTGTTTTGTAAGTTCAAAGTTAACTGTTATATCTAGATCTACCTGGAATGTATCCATACTTGTTAACAGATCACACACATGATCTTTAAAGTCCAATAAATCTACAAATGTGTAGTAATATAAGGACAAGGACTTAATTATGTCATTTTTAAGGCTTTGGATTGGCGTGAGACTTTTGACATCAATATTTGGAAATTTTCTGACAATACTCTTGATAGATGATTCTAAATTCTTGTCAGATAAAAATCCGGGCTTGGATTTAGCATCACCACACGCTTTTTTGATGTTATAAATCCTAGTTAGCATTCCAATTCCCCGATCATTTAGAATTATTAGCTTTTCGGCAAGCTTCCGCTCATTCTGATTCATTTGACGAGACATTTTTTTTATTTCCTAAAATCAAATACTTTAAAATGGTTATTGCACTTTTTTAAAAAACGTACCTCTAGTTCAATTTAAATATCAGTTGCTTGATATTGTGATAAATTATCATTTATTAGATCATTTTTCATTTATTTATGTTATACATGTAAAATTCTAAACGTCAAACCAAACGTCACGGTTTAAGGAGGTCACGGAACACTCTCGCTCTCACAGTGTTTTATGTTACTGTCTCTGTTCTCTGTCTCACCTCTACTCACCTTCAGCACCATAGAGGAATAACAAATAACTTATTGTTATTTCTCTATGTTCAGCACCGAACAACCGAACAAGTTGTTAGGTGCCTTCAGCCAGGAGCGGTCAAGGTTAGTAAATATTTAAGTTTGAGGAGCGGTTAATTTTTACAACCCATTCCGCTGTGTTGCCTAACCAGTGATATGTAATATCTCTGTGCCTAACTAATCTAATCTAATCAGTATCACAGCATAGGATCCTATGCTGTGTCAGTATCGAAACTCGAAACGCGGCGAATTTAAAAACATATCGATATATTATTGTGCTGTTATGTTGTGTTTTACACGTTCTAAAAATTATTCAACATTTAATCTATAATGTCTAAATTTATTGAATAATCTATTTGTACATCATAACACTTGTTATTTTTAATTATTTTAATATCTTAGAAATGCGTCAAATATATTTTTTTTAACTTCATAGTTGATTACAAATTTAAAAAATACATAGATGATATGTAAAAAATATATATATTTCGATGTAATAAACGAATAATAAAATAAGAACGAATTACAATTATTTAGGTAACCCACTATTTTAAATATGCATGATCATTACTTATAGAGTGTACTTTGATTGGAGCGAAAACACATGTAGCACCATTAAAACCACAAACTATTCCTCGACTGGAACTTAATGGTGCAGTAATGGGTTCAAGGTTTGCTAAAAACCTTTGCCAACATCTTTCCATACCTGTGCACAACATTGTTTATTGGACAGATTCTTCACAGTTTTAAGCTGGTTAAGAAATGAAGACCCAAGCAAATTATCAATATATGTAGCTTAAAGGGTGGCCGAAATTCAACAAAACTCAATGGTATCACATTGGAGATATGTACCTACTAAGAATAACATAGCCGACGAAGCTACCAAATGGACAAAAGGTCCCAATTTGAAAAACACGAGGTGGTGGTTTAAAGGTCACTGATTTTCTGTATCGATTAGAAAACAGTTGGTCTCCAGACACCACCCTTAAAAAGGAAAAAGCTGATGAAATCTTAACTACTCATGAAGTACAATTTAATAGTCCACTTTTAATAGATTTAAAAGATTCAGTCAATTTCAAATAAATAATGTGAATATTTCAAAAATGAAAGAAAACAATTAAAAACAAATAATTCTGATAGTTTACAGAAAACAGTTAATAAATCAAGTAGTTTATTTAAATTATCGTTTATTTAAATAATTTGGAGTTTTTTTGGTTTTTCCCGGTTACTGGAGTAGCAGTTCAGTTAACTACTAGAAGAGTGTACCTACTTCTAGGTTTCAACCTTACAAGTCCCAGTGACGTAAGCATCCGGAAGAAGAACTTTCTCAGTTTGAGATTAGTCAGGTTCCTTTATAATAATTGTTCCTACTATTTTAAAATAATTTCCTTAAATTTTGTTTAAACTTTAATCAGTCAATGAACAAAACCTTAATAATAATCTTAGTCAATTTTCTTAACTCATATTTTCGTATCATTAGTTATATAACGTTCAATTTTGTTTCTCAATATCATTTGTTTATTTTATCATTAAATCTTTTAAATATATTATGTATCAGTTATAACAGGGTAGGGGTGGATCACAATACAATTGTTTTTTGTAAGATCATTTGTGCACAAAGGTCCATTTTGTATTTCTACAGCCCTACTTGTAACATCACCAATTCATCTTGTATCTGTTCCTTTCTGGACAGACCAATTTAAATATATCTACAGGTTATCTGATTGGAATCAATTTGGAAGTTATAGGGAGGGGTTATAGTTGTTTAAATTGTCAAATGTTGGTTGTCATTAATTTTTGCTTTAATTCATAAATAAAACTTCATAAAATAAGTTGATACTTTTCTAGTAGATTATTAAATGTAAATATATTGTATATATAAAAGGGATCAATAATATTGTATATTATAAGGGTATTTAAGTTAAATTGTATATTACGAGGTTTACAGGTTTCTATTTTATTGTTATTAAATTGGGTTTTAAGTAAGACTCTGTTTTGTTAAACCTTCTTTTTATTTAATAAGGTTATATCTAATTATAGAAACATAGTCAGCAGCAGCAATAATTAAGTTACACGGTGAAGTGTTTGTTAGACTAACCCAGTAAACATCTTCCCTGGTGCCCAAATCATTCTTCTTTCCTTTATTCCGGTTTTCAGTACTTACTCTTAGTTCGGTTTGGTTATTCTTATATTTTCTTAGTTAATTTACATCTTTTCTATTCTTTACTGTTTTCGCAGGGCATGCAAATAGGCCTAACCCTACCTTGAGTATCAAACTGGCCAGTATCAAGCATACTCAGCTAGCCGAACTGCATTCAGTTTCAACTTCTATTTTAATTTAGTTTCGAACTTATCTCCACACTGCTCTACAGATCTTATAACATCAGGGACCTGGTCCCAAGTGATCTAGCTACTATTTGTTCCTGTAGCGCCCAAAGTGGAGCAATATAAAAACTTTGTTACCTAGATGAAGATGGTTTACTTCGTATAAGAGGAAGATTAAATAAAGCTAGAGATATTACTTCAGAAACAAAAAGGCCAATAATTTTACCGAGAGAAAGTCGTTTAACTTTGCTAGTTGTTGAACACTATCACAAAAGATATCACCATAGAAATCATAAAATTGTAGTAAATGAGATAAGACAAAAATTTTATATACCAAAACTTAGACAACTAGTTAATACGATTAGGACCAATTGTCAAGATTGCCAGGTCAAATTTGCTAGGCCAAAACGACCAGAAATGTCACTTCTACCGATATGTAGACTTGCAACATTTACTGCTCCGTTTACACACACTGCTATGGATTATTTTGGTCTAATAAACGGTACTATTGGAAGACGGCCAGAAAAAAGATGGGGAGCTTTATTTAGAGTAGTCCATCTCGAAGTAGCTTACAAACTAGATGTGGACAGTTTTATACTATGCTTGACAAATTTTATTAACAGAAGAGGACGACCAAGGCATATTTATTGTGATCGAGGTACGAATTTTATTGCAGCTGAACGAGTATTGAGAGAAGAACTGCAAAAGGTTGACAGTAAATTAATAGCCAATTCACTGATTAGCCCAGAGCTAAAATTCCACTTCAACGCACCCCTTTCCCTACATATGGGTGGGGCCTGATAGCGCCTAGTAAAAGCGGTTAAGATTTCGTTATATGATTCATTACCAACCAGGAACCATAGAGAAATAACAAATAAGTTATTGTTATTTCTCTATGCCAGGAACCCTACTGATAAATTACTTTATAGTTGTCTAAGGGTGGCCGCACACAGAAAGAGCAAAACTGTTTTAGTCAAAATCGTTTTTGACTAAACGAGTCTGATGCTGATGTTTCCATATAAATTAAATGAGCTGACGCACACTAATTAGTCATGTGTCTAAAGCATGTTTAGGCTCATTTAGTTTCAGTCAGTCTGTTTGATGTTGATTACCAGATTGTCGTTGTGTCGAAACATTTCATTGTACGCAGGCGCAACGTGTTTTTGGAATTCCCTTCTTGAAACTGCTCGAGTAGTCAACAAGAAGCATATGTGGAAACAGAGATATGTATTTTGCTTGTTTATATTGTGTGTATCATGGATGTGGACGCAAAAAAATTAATTGTACTGATTGAGGCCAGACCTCCTATATATAACTATCAATTAAAAGACCCTTAATTGTTGAAGCAAAGATTGGAGAGTTTTTTTAGCAGTTCTTTTCTAATTTTTATACGATGCACCCAAAATTGTCTTTTATTTTGCGTTTTTTCGTCTTTTAGGAGGAACCACTGCCAGAAACTAGTATAATTTCGTCGTTATCTGTCGAAATCTTTAATAAAACTGATTGCAGTATGGTTTGTGCAAACATTTTGTTTCTCTTGAAAACAAAATGTTTCTTGTGGAAACAAAAACGTTTTCGTTTCAAACAAAAACGTTTTTGACTAAAACAGTTTTGCTCTTTCTGTGTGCGGCCACCCTCATAGCTGCAGAAAACATAGTAAATTCAAAACCACTTACTTATCTTCTATAGTTCTAAAGAATAGAATCTAAAGAATCTGAATCTCTAACTAAAAATGATCTTTTAATTGGATCTTCAAACGGAGATAAACCAATTGGATTTTTAGACGATGTTAAAGTATTTCAATTTAATTATTTTATACAGAGAGCAATTTGCAAATAAATGTTGGCGACGCTTTATTTCTGAATACATACCTGAACTACTCATCATCACAGTCATTAACATCTTAGTAGATGTGTTGTGGTTCATAATTGGGCTTCAGCAGCTCGGACAGTTTGATTGATAATATTTCTCCACTGGTCGCGGTCATCAGTTATATGTATTGCCTTAGTATACTGTTTATTGAGAAGCTTTTTAGTAATGTCCGCCCATCGCTGTGGAGATCTTCCGCGTTGGCGTTGAGTCTGAGGCCTTCCTTGGACACCAACCGCTCCATTTTGTGATCACTTCGATGGATATAGCCAAAGAACTTTAAAATTCTAGAGTAAACGGTACTGGAGGACGTTGATCCGGTTTAATTTCATCCAGAACCGAGATATTTGTACGGCGAGCCGTCCAGAATTCGAAGCGTCTCGTCCACATTCAAAGGCTTACGTCGTCGATGATTTATGTCCATGTCTCGTGCATAGTAAATATGGAAAGACAGAGTTAAACAGTCTCTTTGTTTCTATAAGTGCATCCCCAGACCCGTTTTCATACTACTAGGCAAGGCATAAACAGTTGTCAATTAAAGGGGATATTGTATTATATGTGATAAAGATTTACCAAGATGCAATTGGCCAAAGGGTAAGGTAATTGAAGTTAAAGAATAACCTATGGGCAAGTGCGAGGAGCAATAGTTCAAACAAAAAGTGGAATATATGAACGTTCTGTTATAAAATTAGCAGTAATACCAATAAATGGAGACCAAAAAGATGATGAAAAATAAGTGGTGCAA